GCTGAGCTGGCTGGCAGCAATTGCTTGTTTGCTCATACTATACGATGTGTAGATATAAACTGTGTAAATAACCCTGCCTCAATTTTCGATTTGTTTTGGGACATCTGGGATGCTCGCACTCTGGACAGAGCGTGTCATTATCTGGCTGCATTTATAGTCTAGACATCTGTTTCTCGATTTGTGCATTTGCACAGTTACGAACAGTTTCGTATATCAGCGCCCTCTGTTTGACGCCCTGCCTTTCATTCTTTTTGCGCTTGACATTGATCAAAAGAACGGAGCAACAACACATCCTTATTCTATTCGGCAGGCTCATATGCTCTGCTTGCATGCGCAAATGTGCAATTTTGCGTGCTGATTATAAGAAACGGTTTTTCCTGCAGGCTCAAGTACTTAGAGTCAATTAAGATTACGTGTCGAATGTTTTCTCTTTATGAAAAATTGAGTGAGAGCGATCTCTCCTTTTCTTGCTTGTTTGCTCACTTGATATACATGACCATATTTACCAAAGTTTTTTTGTTTGAACTCTCGAATAATGCCACTTACCTTTCCACATTCAAGCATGTAGTTTTTATTGGTCTTTCTTGACTCGAATCTTAAGAGCCTTTCGAAAACCCGTGCTCAACTCTTAGGTTGCACTAATGACTAAAAGTCTCTATCGTCATAAGGTTTCGATCGAGCTAACTCAAACAGTCATCTTCGATTTAAAAATAAGAACGAGTTTATACTTGCGCTTCAACGCGTTCTGCATAATTAACTACTTAAAATCAAGAGAACATGTTCTTGTTAGACAACGTGTGCAACAGCGCTTTGAGTAATAAATCACAGAATAGATGATATCTGGCTCAGCTGTGTAAATCAATTATATGAATTTCACAATAGAGATTATTTTACTGTCATTGAATAATAGAGTTTTTGAGCAGGTCTAGCATTCAATATATGAAACAAAATTTTGTTAGTAGGCGTTCTTTGATACTGGGCCAAGTGCCACGTCATTGTATTATAGTAATTTATCAGTACGAGATAAATGAACAAATGTCCTTCGTAATTCTCTTAATTCTCTTAGTCTTGGCGTAGGCCCACGGAATTCTGCACATTTTTGATGACGTCATCTCGGTCGCAATTACACATCATAGCATTGATGAGAATGTAGTCTGTAAGAGGCATGGCAGTTCAATAGGACATTCCAAATTTAGTGCATGAGTAATCATGTCATTTCTATTTAATTGGGCTGAGGCCAGGTAAGGTGAGGTAAGAATGCACTTTCATCGTACTCCTTGTGCTCGTAATTTCGATGGTGAGTCGGTCCCCCTTGCCACAGCAGCAGTCCATTTTTTTTACACAAGACCAGAGATGATCTTTTGTTTTTGAACATCGCCAGACGGGCAGTTTTCTCATCGATCTGAGACGGTCCATTCATCATTTGTTCCCAGCGTAGTAAACGCGACGCAGATGGTCCGGCGCGGTTCGCTTCCGCTTTTCGCATTATGAATGCGTTGAATGGGATGGGACTCGCTCGCCCTCTCACCCGTCGTCACTTTCCCCTCCCCCGTGCTGATCAATTTCACACTTCGTGTTTATCACATGACGTGTGCGACTTTTCAAAGATTTGTTTGAAAACACTGCATATTTTGATGTGAACATTGTATTTGCAATGGTTCAAGTCATTTTAAGGCCTTTGAATTCATTGCCAGCTAGAGCTTCTCTGCAGCCCATCGTGGAATTGTAAAGTGCCGCTTTTTATTTATTTGATTCATCTATTTATGCAAAAGTCGTCGAAAATGGTAATAGCTTACTTGCATATCATTTACTCGCACAAATTTTCTTGCAAATCTTTTCACTAATTCATTCTCTCTAACAAGTAATGCTTCAACCAACTTATCTAACTACTTCCACAGAACCAGCTAGTCGTGATCCAGTGCTATGGAACTATGTTTTGTTTTGCTTTTCTCATGTTACACTAGTGTTGTTTTTGCATTTACCTCGCCGCGTTCAATTTCGCGCTCTAGTCGTAATCTGCGCATTCATGCAAATTCTCTTTCCTCGCCATTCGAATTCATTCCGACTCCTCGGCAGGTCGGCTCTTTCTATACTGCTGAAATTCGATCACATTCTGTTGTACTGGTGGGTTATCGGATTCTACATTTCTTTATGCTTACATAAGAATTTACATGGGGAAGCAGCGGTCGTTTGGTTGCTAATCATCTCCCTCACTGAACGTTTATCCTTCGTTGTTCGCGTTAGTATGCTTTTTAATCAAGTGAATGCTCGAGTGTTCGAATTTTGTTCTCGGGAGTGATAGAACCATTGATTATAATTTGGCTTCACATGGAGTCCGTGTTTGATTTCCGTCTGTGATTTGTAATAACTGCGCATGCAGACATACGTAAACTTACCAGTTTTCGCTGATGATCTAGTTTTTCCATTGTTCATGGTTCAAACACAGTGAAAGAAACAAAGATGATGTGTTTTTACACTTAAAATCATGTTTTCCTCAACGAAAGCCTTTGATCAGACTGAAATGTCTATTTGAGAACTGTACCATCAGCAGGAAAGATTCATTTTGCACTGGTGATTGCACTTGCATCAGGTCAGTTACGTGAAGTAGTAATACATTAGATCTGATGCTGTCGTTCTTTGTAAAAATCAGACCGATTTAGAGAAGTCATTATTCATGATTCATCTTTGAGTCGTTCTTTTTAGCTCTTCGTGTCAGCATAGAGACCGGCCCATACTATCCCAGCAGGACAGAACAGATTTCGCAGTCGTTGCGCCGTTTGCTACAGACCCCTACCGCGCCCAACAGGTTGTTCGTGGCGGGACCGCGTTAAACTCACTGGCTTCGAAGCCGAGTTAGTCACGTCGTCCTTGATTTTAAACTGCGCGCACTTATTGCCAAGGATTTGAACCTGTGGTTTACTCGACAAAGCACTAGGATCGATACTTCAAGTATTTTGAAGAAGGGAAAATACGCATTTCAAACCACTTTGCATTTCACCGTAGTTGCCCTAAGCTCAACTGATTACTGGAAATTACTGTCTTTTCCCATCAAGTGTGGATTAGATCAGTCAAGGGTTTCGATATATCATACATAGAAACTGAGAACCTATTTAGGTGGGTGATACTTCTCGGAAATCAAAAAAAAGCTGTTATTCTGTTTATTTTCTATTTGAAGCATCTTGCGGAAACTGGTGCTGGTAAAAGCCAAGAATGAATGTCGCACTAAGGATGTTCGGAGTTTTGCCCTTCTTGATGAGTTGTTGAGCTGCATAACATCACCTTGATAGGTGTTGAAAGCTACATTTTACCATATAACCTAGTATAGTTTACCTATTGTCTTGTTCATGGAAGAGTGACGACATGAATTTGGATTTTACACCATGTATAACTTTGAGAACTCAAGATAGTGAGACAATTCAACTATTGCTGAGGTCTTCCCATCCATTGACGCTGAGCTCATGCCAAAGTAAAGTCTAACGCAACAGCTTTAGAAAGTGTATGCGTTCGTAGCAAAGCGAAGGCCGCTATTTGCTGGCAGGACCATCGCGCACTCACGAACTTCAAAAAGAACCTGCGATGCTGTCTGCAGCACTTACATTATAAACGTATTGCGACTACAAAAGGTGTTGGTGTCCTCTTTTACTTTCTTTAATCTTACTAATCGCATAAAGTGGTCTTGGAGTTGATATGATGTGTTGCTGATCCTCTGGATCGTAGATATAACACATCGATTCAAGTTACACTCACTGAGTAGTAGCCGGTAGGTAGTACACTGACTAGCTGGCATCGTCAGTGTCAGAGCTTATGATAGGATTTCTGTTTCTCTGAGGAACTGAAGTGAATGAAGGTGAGAAATATGGATAATCATATTTACGTTTCATTAGTCACTCATTTATCACAACTGAAGGGACTGAAACAAAAAAAAACAGCATTCGCAAGATGGCGAAAACTCAGACTAGAAGAATGGAGTGACCGGAATATAAGTCTTGGGGAGCCTTCATTGAAACATTGATATGCTCGCTATCCTAGTAGAAGCCTTGAAAGAGAAAAAGAACGATGATCCAGGGCTGAAAGTAAGAGAAAAAACAAAGCAACTACGAATATACCAATTTAGACAACGGTTTTGAAACCAATAGACTCAGAATCTGTATGATACATCAACCTGTGTTAGGTGCGAAAAAACTGCTCATCTCCTGACGTCCTTGTAGTTCTTGTACGCCCACCTCGGACAAGAACTGCTTTGCATTAGGGTTATTTTGAAGTTCGCAGGTACGCTGGTCCCGCCACGAACACCCTGTTGGGCGCGGTGGGGGTACTGCAGCAAACGGTGCAACGACTGCGAAATCTGTTCTGTCCCAGCAGGTGATTTGCGTTTCCTGTCAATCCTACAATTCCTATGATTCTTCGGCTGCCGATGTGCCGCACTACGGATCGCTCTGCGAAATTCCATATACATTGTTTTCTTCGCAATATACATTGTTACGGGAGCCGCAGCAATCACGAGAATCGCAGAGATTGCAGGAATCACAGGAATAGTATGGCCGGTCCTATAGATTTCTGCCGTTGATCTTATATAGATATATTTGGAATCAACTCTTGTTTTCAGAAACACATACTATATTTGATTCACTTGATCTAGTTGATCCTTCGGTATTTCTCGAATCAGCGAACTGACCAATAGAGTAGTTTTAGTAGTGGATCAACTGGATCAAGTATGGCGTGTGTCAGGTTGGGGGGGGGGGGGGAATTCTGGTTGTTTAGTAATCTATGCTAGATGAAAAATTGACGTAAAAGTTGAACAAAGATTGTAAAAGTCTATAGACCCCACAATGCTTTACTAAACAATTCCTATTGGTCAGTCAGTCGCCCTTGCACTTTGTATATTGTAAACTGGTCTTATGAGACAGGATTTGTGTATATATCGTGTTTCGAACATGTGTCCAACTATTAGTGGTTTTTCTTTTTTGCTTTTCTGCTTTTCATTAAATCTGCATGCAATGAGCGAATATCATTGAAATTCCTCAGAATTCTTTAGCGTCATCGTTTAATCGATCATTTGATCGGAATGGTCGCATGTTCTCGCATATTTTCCGCTTCGCTCGATTGTCATCATAAGCAACACGATCACTTCTTTCAGAGCAAGCGAGATGCCGATTCCGATGCCAAAACCACAATCGCAGCATCGTCACCATCGTGTGGATGCGTTGTGGGACAGCAATGCTGACAAATATCGTGTTGCTTGTCGATCAGTGCATGTTATGAGGGTGAGTGGATCAGTTTTTATATTAAACTTATTCCGTTTTTTTCATTGAGTTTACCAAACTGCACTTTTTGGGCGGGAAAATCATTATTTTTTAGCATCGTTGCGCGTTCTGCATAATCCAATACATGCGCCAGCATTATTGTCTGTCGGTATAACATTAGTTTGTTTACGAGGTTTTCTGTCTGAACCGACATTTTTGTTACGCTGAAGCTCTGCGATTTACCTTTCATTGGTCGCTACTAATGTGAACAGCTCTGATATAATAAATGGATAACAATGTGATGGTATACGGAATATTTTTGCGCAATGGCGCTAGAGAGGCAAAATGTCATGCTTTTGTTTGTTTTTTCATAGTGATATGTGTTTAGGCTACATCATAAATGTTAGTAAATAATTTGTTCGAGAGCGAACTTTGAATTTTTTTTTTTGCACAGAGAACCTCCGTAATTATCTTGGCACATAAACATTTTATTTGGAGACGTGAGTTGTTGTTAAGCGAAAGTGACAATTATTAAGTTTTTTTTGGAAATACAAAAGATTTTGACATGACCTTGCTGATTAGTTGTAGCAATTCGCTTCGAAGCGATGTGGTGTAAGGTCCTGTGGTGTAGTGGTTATCACGTCTGCTTTACACGCAGAAGGCCGCCGGTTCGATCCCGGCCAGGACCTACCTTTTGCTGTGACGATCAAAAATCCCTTGCATATTTTGCGTTTGTTCCATTCTTTTCACAATAGCAAGGGGACTATAGATATCGGGACTGAATTTTCTCAAGTTTCAATGATGTTTGATTTCAAATTTCATCTTGTTAATAAAAAAGTGTCATTTTGATTTTTTTTGACAATAATTACGAATCTCATCAAGCATTTGCAGGCGACCCAGTTCATCGGATATGGCCAGCTTCTCGTCATTGGATTATTCACTATCACACTGCTTTTCTTCTATGGAAAACAGTTGAATGTAGGTTCTCCCTTTTGTGGCATATAAATGTTCTCACTTCGCATACTTCTACTCTTCCTTTTTCCCAGGGAGGACTTCCAGCTGATCACTGGCTCGCTAATGCTGGTGGACGTTATATCACGTCTCTTCTCACTGCAGTTTCCCTCCAATTATCTCTGGTAAGTTACTTAGTTTGTTAGATTTCTTTTTTGCCTTGATCATCTTTTCATTTTTAGGTACTGATGATGCTTCATGGAGTTCGCTCTCAGAGACGATCATTCTTGCTTCCATTCATCATCTTCGCTTCCTTTGCCGTCTTCCTCGCATTCATCCAGGTATGGTAGATACACTTTATTTTATACAATCATCCATTAGGTATGATCTCGAAAGCAGCCACTCCTTCAAATTGGAGACATTTTTTGGTTTGTCTTTGTAAATTTGTAAAATCTTGAAAAATAATAACTAAAGATGTGTGCGATGCATTCATATCTCCTAGTCAACAAATCATTGTTTTTTTTTCTTACAAGGGTATGAGCATTTATTGAGTACGCTCTTTCATGAACCTGTTTCCAAACAGTTATTTTATGTTATCAAATCTGCCTGTCAGATGTATTCACACAATGCAGAGTTCACTATGATTTCATAATTTGGATTTTTTTTAGTAGTGATGAGATCAAAGTTTGATTCTGAAAACTACGAGGAAGGTTGTTTTCAGGTGTCATCTGATCTCGTAGCAGCTTCGCAGTCGCGTGTTGGGGCCTCATCTGGCCCACAGCTTCTGAGCCACGTTATCGGAATGTGCGTCCATGTCTGGTGCGTTGCTGTCGTCTGGCGCTGCTACTGCTACCTCGGTGATAAGAAGGTCAGAATTATTTCGGTTGTGTTGATTGAACCGTAGTTTATTCTTTCTTCTTCCAGGTAGCGGAACATATTGGCGAACAACTCCAAGCCACATCCTTGGCCTTCGCCTATGAATACACTCAGCCACCACCATATGCCGATACTATCGAGAAAAGTCCTTTGACGATCGCTTAGAGTTTTACGAGCTGTTTACGAAAAGCTTTGGTAATTCTTGTTTGACTTAGAAATGTGGACAACGGGACCAATGCTTACTTTATTCCTTTGTTTTCGATTAATTTGGAAGCTTTTGATATTGGTTCTCCACACAAGTAATGGTCTTGATCTTAGCTTTTGAAGGAATACAGATACATCAGTCGTGTTCTCAGTCGTGTGTCTCTCATTCTCTCTGCTTTTGAGATCATACCCCGCAAACCTCCGGGTTTTCTGCTTCATATGTATTGTAGCTGTATTATTTTTTATTACATCACTGAACAAAATACCTACTGAGGCATATATCTGTCCTGTAATCATGTTTTGTGTTTGGTTTTCTTTTATTCGCAAAGACAGTATCGATCGAGAGTAGTGAACATCTTCTTGATACTATCGTGTGTAAGTGTCGTGTTTTGTGTCTCTAGATGTTCCTTCTTGTATCATACTGTTATCGTCGAACAAGCAGTGTACAAATTTTAATGATACAGTTGTAATAAACTCTGTTATAATGTAGTTATGTGAATGAATCGATAACATAATATAGAAAGGTAGTGCCGATGATGGTCATCTGGGAAAACTTCTTCCTCCTAGCCTGCTAAGGGAGGCCAAATCTACAAGGGGGGGGGGGGGTGGGAATTGTGTCTCATAGACCAAAAAATATCACATTAATAGGGTGTACTAGAACGCATGTGCCACAGCCGTGAAACTCTAACCTCCTGATAAAGAATGTATGATACACACATTGACAGAATATGGAATGAGAAATAGGAACAAGCGAAAACAAAAATAAAAAGCTCAGCCCCGTTATAGTTTGTGTTGTTTTCACTTATGGAAAACTGCAAATACTATATAGCATATATATGTCCAAAGGAATTATTGAGAATTCAAGGAAGACTTGACAGCGATTCAACAATTCTTATGGCAAATCAAGAAATAAGGTAAAAAATCAGGGCCACCCACAAATAATAGATAGATCTAGTCATACTACGCGTCATCTGACGCAAGGATACGTCACCAAGTGCAAAAACCGCCATTAAAAGTTGTACCATTTTTTCTTCTCCAATTTTTCCACTAGTTTACCAGTTCGCTGTGACAAGTTCATTGCAGTGTTTCGCAGATTTTCGGTGGCATCAACCGTTGCGTTCAATTTCTCACCACGTTCTGATATTCCCTGAAATAGGCTCACATCAGCTCAGATTCTGAGAAATACATTCAGGGGCTTGATCTATCAGTCTCCATATCTCTGACTGGGTGTTGTCTCACTGTTGAAGGCAGCATCCAGGCAAGTCTGGACACAGGGGGATTATACGTAGAAAGTAATTTTGGGGCACTAAGGCATTACTCAACCGACAGCTCAATTAGTGCTCTAACGGCTGAGATATTCTTGTCGAAACCAGACCCCGGGATCGTATTCGTATGGATTCATGGCGCAACCCATCAGTTTCGCACGAGCATCACGCGTTGCGCCATGGATCCATACGAAATACGATCTTAGGGTCCAGTTTCCAGGGGAATATCTCAGCCGTTAGGGCACCTTCCTGAGCTGCCGGTTGGGCAGTGCCTTAGGGCCCCAAAATTACTTTCCACATTAAATCCCCTTATGTCCAGATTTGCCTGGACGCTGCTTTTAACGGCATTGTCCATCTAAATTGAAGGTGATAAGATTTTGATGCTATACTATAGCGATGGTTCTAATTAGATAATCGCGCAAGCCTCGCTGCAAAAAATGGTCCAATGCAAAAAAACCGAGAAGCTGGAATTGGCCGCGCTAGCTGCGCCCATCATTTTGAAGATAACAAACCAAAACATCGGCTCTTTGTATCCAGAACTGTCATAGACCCTGTCTTTCTTTAATCATCGAATTTGCTAGCTTTTTGTCCCCCCCCCCCCACCCGGAGCCCGATTTCAGACTTCACAGACCAGCTACATTGGGCGGTGCTACCGTGGCCGCTTTTACCTTCCTGATTTTCTCGCTTCGAAATTCACCTTCTGCAGCGCGACTTGGCGACTGCTTAGTTAGAGGGCCCCGCTATTACATAACATCAAAACCTCGTCACCCTCAGTTTGGGAGGACGGTGCTTTGAAGGCAAGGACAAACGCCTGATCAAGCCATGTGTGCTCGTCCTCAAAAGTAAAACAGCACCCGCTAAGATCGGAAACTGATAAATAGGTTGCTCCCAATTGTCCAAAAATTACTTGTAACGCCATAGCAGCTGCTTGCCCAGCAGATACTCCACCAGCTTGAGCTCTTTCCATGTTCACCGATGGTCCCGGGATTGTTCGTCCCACAGTTCGTGTAGCTCCTCCGCCTACTCCACCGCTGGTTTTCTCTCGATCCGAAACTAAAAACATGGGCATTGAGCCAATTTGAAATCTTGTCAAGATTACGAAATTTTGTACTATAAACACTTCTACTAGATTAATCTGCTTTGTTGCACTCTAATTTTTTCACTCCGAAGAATCCAGAAACCCATGTTTGGAGTATTTTTGCTTTGGATGGATGAATCACGAGAGGCGATCTGTGAAACCATGATTACTTCTACCATTTTCCCAGACTAAATGGCCCCTCTTCAAGGCAAAAGATTTCTAGAGAATAAAATTAAGAAATTCACTCGGTCCACTGGGAAAAAGGCATAGAACAAATTTTATGTTCAAATTTGTTTCATTCATCGCAGCTTTCTAAAATAAATATTAGTTATCTCAACTACGTTTCATTAGACAAACTCCCAGATCTGGGACGAAGACCACAGATGCGCTGATACATTTCTTGGAAACAAAGGAAGCAAACACGATACCTAATTTATTACATTGATTCTAGCAAACAAAGCTCAAGGTCATCATGCACAAATCTCCAAACTGGTCCTGCCTCATAAAAAGGGGAAAAACTGCAAAAACAGCCCGAAAGAAAAAAAAACTGGAAGAAATATTACGAATAGGCTTTACCTTTTGCCTTTTTAGTCTTCTTACTTGCTTTCTTATCCAATGGCATTTTAAGGAGAATAAGTTCGAAGATGACGTAAACCAGCTGCCAGCACCAGTCTTGTTATGAGTATGCATGTGTTCGCGCTGCTGTCGATATTTCTCTCTAACCTCTCCACACATTCAGCGGAATGCTGAGGACGATGGGAAGTTTTTCATGATGAGTAATAAACGATCTCCGGTGAATCAGCTCAGCAACAAAACGAGTCGTTATTATAGGAGCCGTCATCGTTCTGATGCACAAAATACATAAAAGTATCTGACTGCTCAAAAATGGCGTTGAAAAGGCACACTGATTGCAGTCCAACATTCTTCGGAGTTACGTCTGTGCGAGTATTTAGTCAAGGCATTAGAAGAAACCAGCCCACTTGAAAGTTGAAGTGCAGTGATTGTAGAGACTGATGTGAGATGTGATGATTTAAGCCAAAACGGTTAAAAAAGGTAATGCTTCAAAATAGCGCTGATTCGATTGCATTCTTTCAAACTTTATTTTCACGAGCTTTGTAATCAATCCGTTACATAAATAAGCCACTGACCCTTTCTTCTACATTTACAGCTTCTTCATGAGAAGCGACTCCAAAGTCAGGACTTTAGGAGTGAAGGTGTAGTCACTTGGGGAATTCATACGCCTCCTTGAACGCTTCCCCCTTCAAATATCTAACAGCACCTAAGACTAGATTTAGGTAAAAATTTGAGTTACAGTGAGAAATTGAACAGCTGTTGTATGAAATGTGTTCTGGCCGCGATTTACGCCGAATTAGGTAGTCCGGAAATTAATGCAACCTCGCGCTATTACCGCGGAAAAGGTATATGAATGTACAAAACATATTATCCGATAAAGCAAAAAAGCTAAAAAGATTGCATTTGAACAATGGCAAAAAGTTCGACCCATGTAAAGTTTGGAGTATATTTCAGATTATTTTGGCAAGAGCATGCCAATTTTTGTTTTCTCGACTTGTAGCCATTGTAAGACTCTAAGAACTATATACATATGGATGTCTAATGTGGAATTGTATACGTGAACAATATGAAAATTTGCACGGGTTTTTTTGGGGGGGGGGGGTGACAAACATATAGAATACTTGGATTTTGTTCCACACTTTAAGTGAGTCAAGCTTTTTGTAACTAGATGCCATCCAATACAGCCTGCTTTTCTCTAGAATATATTTTTCACATTTTTATGACTATACTGCCGCAACAGCGCGTAAGGAATCAGCGTTAATTTCCGGATAACCTGATAGAAGTCAAACGAAGATAAATCGATGCAAGTACTTCAGTACTTGCACTTTGACGGGTTCTAATTCCATAGATGTACATGCGTCAGCACTTGAAGTGGTCCTCTTATTCTATCAGCAAAGACATGCAGAACTACTATGCCTTCATGACACAGATTCTGAGACTGAATCAAACGAAGAAAAACTCACGAATAGAATCGACGTCACACGAATCTTGCCGAGGTGTACCAGTGAACATACTGGAGACTCCCTGAAACGGCATGAGATGAGCTCAACAGAACAACTCACTCAACAATGCATAGTCTCAAAAATATGGGCTGGTCATAAGCTCGTAAAAACGCGTGATTGGTCTGGCCTTAGCTGTTGCAGTAAACAACTAACAATATCGAGTTTTCAACAATGCATGCTAATATCCGTGCGCATCCAATAAGCTTTTCATAGACTGGATTTCAAAATAATCCGTAATAGTTTGCAAGGTATTATGAAATTATTATACGTGTTGCTAGCTATGGTATATCCACAAATCCTATTCACATATTTATATTTTACACTAGTTTCTCCACTCAGCAAAAATTTACGGCCTTTTTCGTGCCAGTTAACTTGTGATAGTGTAAAAGGAGATAATTGCAGCAAAGTTGTTTATTCAAAGATTAGGTGACGAATATGTGGCCAAGAATGTCAGAAAACTGAATATAAACATTACTTATCTTGGTATTCGGAATGACTGGATTAACAGTTGTGTATAGCCCACATAATATTCATTTTAGTTGTTCCAATATCTTTTCCCCCACCACTATGTTTCTGATAGAGCTAATTCGAAAAGCTTGGGGAAAAATACACGAAGTTCAACAGTGGGAAGGTAAGGAAAGTGCTGTAGAATCACTGTTAAATAGGAATTTCTGGGGATATCAATCTGATAACCAAATCCAACAGAGCTAAATGGACAGCTGATTAGGCATTGGTTAAAATCGACTTCTCAACCTTAGTCTTCTCAATCAAATACATCCAAAAACTGCTGTCTAGAACAACCAGAAGACGAATTTTAAAACTTTTGAGATACCTCTGTTATTAGGAACTGCAGGAGGATATCTGCACTCAATCCAAACAGCTCTTCCCAATGATAAAGATTATTAGCCTTAATCACGCGTTTATAGATCTTTACTTTAGCACAACGCAGCTGCACGAAAGAGTCCCCCTACCGCTTTTGGCCCTTTTTGTACAGTGAGGTTTGTGCGTCATCTTTTCAGACATAGCTCAAATGACCTTTTCAAGAGCTTCTGAATGATGTACAGCTAGCATAGGGCCTCTCTAGACTCGCGGAAACCATCAAACTCGAGTTGAAAAGTCCAAGCTTTGGCGGACTCATATTTAGGTGGTCCTATCTAAAAAATTTGGGAGAGGTATCAAATAGAGATTACTGATTTTGATGATAAAGAAATTCGTTCCTTGCTCATCCTACCTGAACAAAGAATATCTTTTACCTGCTCAGGTACTAATGCTTCGATAGCTGCTTTTTCACGTGGCCGAATTTTGAAATTCGCATAAGATATTACACATTTTATTAATTTACTCAACTACCTTTTAGCAAAAATGAACGAATAAAGAAGTCCAACTTCCAATGGTCAATACTTAGCGTCTGTGCTGTCAGCGCTGACACTAGAGGAAATGGACAAGGCTGCAAAAATTGTTTACCCTTAGTACATGTGCAGTCAAAAAACTTATTGTGTTCTTACAGGATCTGTTTGCACTTTCATCTAGCCCCATTTCTCAAGACGCTCCCCTATCACAAGGTGCAACTCCTTAGCAAGGTATAAGCCAACACCTTTTGTAACATTTGCAGCAAAACTTCCAGATTGGCAACAAACTCTGCAACTTATTCATCACCTTTTCTTCCAGTTTGGCGCACTAATATCCTGCCTGTAAGGGTCACAAGAAGTAGGCAATTCAAGAGCTAAATTACAGATTTGACGAATTCAGATGAAATTCGATCAAGGGGGGGGGGGAGGGGGGAGTATTCGACATGCAGACTATGATAATGATCTCATTTCCGTAGGCCTTTACAAAGTTTGGTTGATCCAAGGTAACTAGGAAGTCAACATCTACCAACACTTTGTCTACAATTTCGGCTCCTGCGTCTGATTCAGGTCGTACATGGCTCATAGGCACGGTCAAAAAACTTCGTCATCCATTCGTCATTCCAGGGTCTTTTTGTCCCTGACGTCCAGTTATGAAGCTCAAAATGCCCCCCCCCCCCCAAAACCAATTTCTAAAAACCCCTATTCTGAGGGCACAGACAATTTTCAGTACTTGGGTGGGTGTGGCTCGGTAGCATTTTGCGGGTTCCAGGCATTCAGAGATAACATTGAAGGATCGGATCAACGCGATGCCCTTTCCTGGGTTATACATTTACGCTAATCGGAGGGGCTTAGATTTTGCCTAGACGCTGCCTTTAATTTTTGCTATGAAACCTGCGAACCTCGATTTTCATCATTTTTCGGAGAATAGAGAGAGTGAATTTTATACACTTTGCCCTAGAAAACAAACAGTTTGGAATATTTGTAGCTCACACCACAGCACATGATGCCAAACTTTGAGTTTTCCATTTAAAAAAGATTAGCAATGGAAAAACGCAAAGCTTAGCTGTCAATCTAATATTTCCAACTACAAGCTAGAATGATCTCTGTTCTCGCTTATCATTATAAAGGAAAACTATATATCTTGCGCAGAGTTACAGCGTGCCTAAGTTTCGACTTGGGACACTCATTATAACTCTTTTAGAGCAATCTTACCTTCAAGAATGAGCTGTTGTTTCGAGGCGGTTCAGGAAGGTCACATGCAACGAAGAGATCGCCTAACGACTCGGCAGCTTGGTCCGCTAGCTCAGAACATATCGTATATTTTTCAACCTGAATGGGAAATTCAGCAAATATAATATGCAAGCAGGATGGCGCTCACCTCTGATGGGCTTGCCATGTAGATTCCCAAACCATGTTCTGAGAATGACATTCTCTGGCATATCCTGCAAAGATCATACTTAGATGGATCTTTAGAAAAGAGTCCAACCCAGCACAAAGACAACCCCGGAATGGACCGAGTAACCATTCCATTCAGCCTAGCTTTAACAATGAACTACACAACAGAAAAAAATTTTAGCATCTTATCAGTATGGCAGGATGCAAAACTTACACATCGTCAATTTCGACTGAATGGGGTAAGAAGGGTGATTGATGAAGTACCCGCAGCGATGGCAATGATAGAACAACCATCTGTAACCTCGACTCTTATTGTAAGTTTGGAATGAAAAGGAGAAAACCTACCTTTCCGTCGGCTGCCAAGCACATCAGTACAGGATAACCTCGAACATGACTAGCTTGAGCCTGGTAAAAGAAAGGAATATATTACTAGAAAGATAGATAGAAGAACTACGATACCTTGACCAAAGGGATTTCATCACATTTGTAAGCGAAGAGTTGGCTGAATAGTGGCAGCGCTATTGCTTTCACCTCATATTCGGCGACAACGATCAAGGTCTGAAAACATTTCATTTCCGCGGATTTTTCAAAGACTAGGTTGAAATCAAAATCTTTATGATACGGTTTATTCACATTTCTGTAGATGTTCATGGAGAGTAAAGCGTACATGTTCTATGACACGCGTAACAGTCAATTAAGCTCCTTTTGGCAGCCTATTTTTACATTTAAAAAAGGGTGCACTTGCGGGGCACCAAAAAAACAACTATCGAGTATTCGACGGGATTCCCTTTCAACGACAGCTTTTTCCTCTTTATGCTTCTTATATGACGTTATATTCTTAGTTATTTCTTGTTCGCTCCTCTCTCCCCCCATCTAGAAGTCCAGCTACCCGGTCACAACTTTGTGCTCAAGAAACCCCGTAACTTTTTGATGAAGGTAAGTTTAGTTCGCAAAAAAGACCATTGATAAACGCCTTAAGATGGAGTAGGGAATAAATAAATCCCCAAAATAACAATTGAATTTGAATTCAAGGGCATTGCTAAAGCGTTCTACCGGATAAATTTCCTAGCAATCCACTGTTTCCTCTCTGCTCGTCTGACGCAAATGGTAAATTTCATACGCTGTAAGAAAAATGCTTTGCAGCTTCGTTTTGTTCCAACCTATTTTGGAAATTTGCATATTTGCCCAGGTCTTTCAGAATGGACCCGAACAGTACCGTCCAAAACAAAAGGACACAATTACGGAGTTCAGCACTTGACTTTTCGGCTTGTAGAACAGTCGTTCCCTGCAACAAGCTATGAATGATACTCACTTGAGATATTTCTTCATTTATCTCGACTGACATCGAGTACGTAGGCGCCAAACTCGATTTAGTTAATACCTACAAAAAAGCGCATAAATAGAAAAATTTCCAACAAAGAAAGAAACACCTACCCGATTACTAATCGACTTCTCAGGCGTGCCAGAGTCCTTGCTCTCTTTGCTTGTTTCCCTATACGGTTCGGCACCACCGGACATAAGACAAAATGAGTGATCCATAAATGTTTGATAAATAATTTGGCCTTTCATCTTCACAACCGTGCCTAAACCATGTTCATTATCGGCTAATGAAATACTTTAGCACTGCAGGCTATTCAGTGTAGGTAAAACAGAAACACGATAATCTTGCACCGTAAACGGTAACTTAATTTAATGCAATATCCAAACTACGGTATGTGATTGACGTGAACTGTTCGCAACACATTCGCTAGCTTCTAAGCTACGGTTATGGTTACTAAGATCCTACAACTGTACATGCTTTTTAACAATCCGATACTAAGCGCTTTTTCGGCAATAATTAAGGGCCTGTAGCACATAGGTTCAGGTTTTGTTGAAAGAAAACTGCGGGTTACTTCTGAAAGCTGGGGAAGGAAAAGTGCTCTAAAGACACCTTCCTGCCAAAATCGGGAGTGGTGAGATTTCGATGCTTACAATAGCGGGCTCTAATCAGATAATCGTCCAAGTTCCGCTGCAAAAGATGGATTGCGAGGCGAGGGAATCGCTCCAAAAATACAAGTGACTGATGCAGCTCCGCCCACCAACGTTGATGGTCTGGAAGAACCAAGTCCAAATTGGGCCTCAATGTATATAAATCGTGAACCAGTCCTTCATTATGATTAAAAGATTTTCGACTTTTCTACCTATCAAACACTTTTAAACGTTATCTTCAGACCATTCACGTTGATATGCGATGTCCACCATCGCCGCCTCTACATTCTGGAGCAATTCCAGCGGTTCGGCGACTACCTAACTGAGGGCCCCACTAATGTTTATCGTAAAAATCTCATGGCCCTAGAATTTGCAAGAACGGTGTCTACAACAAAGGGATGTGCGAATGAAAGCAGTACTGCTGAGCCATTTAGCAAACAATGAGCAATTTCTTTTGCAAAATTGAGGAAAACTCAGAAAGTCTAAGCTTTCCCCTGAAAACACCGATTTGATCTGGAAGCTCAAGATTCGGTAGCGCGTGTTTGCCACAATTTAGGGAAAAGAAAACAAAGGAAAAGTACGTTTGCTACAATGTCTCAAACACCATGGTGAAAACCATATATCGCGAAAGAGGATTCGAAAAAAAGGTAGATGAAAAAGCAAATGTTATATGTCCTCTTGATTTTGGGCAGAAAGGAAACGGCAGAGAAACGAGTGGTGATAATTTTTATATTCACCCCTCAAAAGAAGAACGATTATGTTCAGAAAAGTCATTCTTAATGGTTCCAATTACCAGAAACGCAAAAAGAAAGCTGGAGGGTGTATCAAAAACTTTTATCTTTTTTCGTGTAAAACTCACTGTCCAATAAGAAAAAACACTTCCACTGACAAAAAAATTTTACTCAGCGCATTGTGACCAGAAAGGGTTCTGTGGAAAACAGAACAAAGTAATGAAGCATGCACCACGCCAAACATAAACTGAAACTAGCAGAACAGAAAGGAAATATTACAACATGGGTCTAAAAAGCACACATACCTTTCACAACCGCCTGGATTTTTGTCGCGGCTAAATGACAGAGACAGTAAAGTTTAAATAAAAAAGAAGGTGGAAAGCACATAGACAATGAAGACACTATTTTTAAGATTGCAAGTGACCAAAGAGTCCCGAAAACATCCCAAGATAGTGAGGATAAAGCACACAGGTATAGAAAAGCAAAAGCACTCGAAGCACAGTGACCGAGAGGTTATTGTAAGCTTGAGAGAAGTCAAAGGGTTAGTGAAGCACACCATTTACAACGCGCTACAAAAGCAGTGTCAATTTTTAGCGGAGAGTTAGCGCAAAGGTTTAACATTAATAGCAACTTACTTCCTTCAGCAGCTGAAATACAGGACATTATATGTGAAGGGGATAAACTTACTGAACCACTTCCTACTTAGCCAAAAAAATTTGTAAAAGCTGACCTGAAGGTGCTATAACAACCGTAGATATGAGTCGATCCTGAGGAAGAATCAAATTCAACGCAATCGAAGCACCCGCACTTGTTCCTACCCATAAGCATGGAGATGTACGAGTATCTGAAATCACTCAAATATAGTGAAATATGCAAGTTTTCAAAACTAACCGTTTCTCCGAGAATATGATTGTATGAATGTAAGCGATGATACAAATTCTGGTGTTCCTAAAGTCAGTTTATCCAGACTTTGCGAGGAAAGCGATGGTGATGGTCCCGCTCCACTGTTTCGTGCAGTAGGGGAATCACGAGGGGTGTCAACTGAAAACAGCAACATAATCATGTAACATTCACACTTTCTTGAATCACAACACACCAAGACTGTACACCACAACGCAAATCTACTACAGATAGATTAAGAAGGCATTTCAAGATGACAATCCAATGGAAGTCTCAAAAAGTTTTTGTTTACGTTTTATTGCTGAAGTACTTAGTAAGGTCAACTATGATCTGGCTTAAAGGCAGTAAGTCGGCAGAATGAGACCCGTGGCAAAACATGGTCACAGGGTAGGAGCCCCATAATGGAACCTATGGGCTAAAGTTTGATCTTTCTGCCACTTCTAACCCCCGAAATTTCAAAGCGAAAGCAGCGCCCATCTCCTGTCCTCTCCTATCCCGCCCACCCCATGGACGAGTGACTTCCGCGGCCAGAGCGCCAGCCGCAATGCTATAAGCATGAGGTCCCGCAACGACTCTGCGTCTTCGCCATGACGGGCTTCGCGTTCACTCGTCCATGTGGTGGGCGGGTTCGAAGAGGACAGGAGATGAGCGCTGCTTTCACTTTAAAATTTCGGGGTTAGAAGTGGCAGAGAACGATCGAAATTTGGCCCATAGGTTCCATTATGGGGCCCCTACCCTGTGACCTTGTTTTGCCACGGGTCTTATTCTGCCGATCTACTGCCTTTAAAGGCAGCGGCTCGACAGATTGACCTACCTCAGATTTTGACACAGATGGATAGGAGGCCCTCCAAGTGAACCAAAACAGCAACTCCGCTCGAAAATGTGAACTCTGCAAACCACGGGAGCGGCCCAAGCGCCGCTCCCCTTCCTCCTTTCGCTCCCCTAACACCTTGTTCGGACGAGTATTCTCCGCTAGATGGCGCGGAACCCCCCAACCGCTTTCCCGTATTGTGCATGCTATACAAAGCCAAAATTAGGCAGCAGGGTCTTCGTGCCAGGGCCTCCCGACTCCTTTGAAAATTCTCGTCCGAGCTGCCTTTTGGAAATTGAAAAAAAACGCCCCGAAAAGGCCTTTTCACCCCTTTTAAAGCTCAGGTTCGGAATCTACGGGTCGAGAAGGCTCAAAACATGCAAAAAGATGGAAATGCAAAATCTGCCGGGACGCTGCCTTTAACCGAATAAATCAATTCACAGCCGTCCATCCCGACTTGGTTAGTAAAATTTTGATGCAACGGCCCAGGTCCCACTGCAAAAGCTGAATATCAAAGCAGGAAAATCGCTCCAGAAGCTAGATGCAGCCAAGGTCGCCACGCCCATCAACATGGTTGGTCGAAAGATTTTGAACCCGAAAGCAGGTTCAGGGTATATAGATATGTCGAAAACCTGCTTTTACAGCAAAACGCGGGTTTTCAACAATCACTAGGCACACTGAGGCACCGTTTCGCTCAATTCCTCAAACCAACCACGTTAATAGGCGGGGCGACCTCTGCGCTTCTATTGCAAACAATATTCTCTCCTCATTCAACTTTTGCATCAGAACGCAATCAGTTACTAGATCTCGCCAATGTATCGCATCAAAATCTCACCAACTTCAGATTTGAGTGGATGGTGTCTTCAACGAATAAGGAGAACTTGCTACTTCAGCATTTATCTACCTTCAGTTTCAAAATTAGCGAGATTACGCCATGAAACTCAGTGAATCTCCCCGACGATCGCCCTCTCTCTAGACGACGGTTATGGGCGATAGAAACTATAATTTATGACGCTACGCCCAAAGCGATGGTCCGAAATGATGTCATAGACTAACAACATTTTTGGAGTCAACAAAATGAATGGCTTTTGGGACTTCCATCAGATTATAAATAACAGTGAAATCGATTAAGTTGTGTGGATCGGTCTGAACAAAAAATCACTATCATGTGCACAGTAATACATTACAATGCTACCCTATCTGCTTCTTGTTCGTAAAAATTAATACGCAAAAATTAGTCTCGATACCTCATGTAAGCGGATAGCCGCAAACCCAAATCTTCAACCTCGCGCTGGAGTATAAACTAAAAAGCGATGCCCAACGAAGATCCGAGAGGGGATAATGACAAACATAAAATTTCAATCAAATCTCTCCAAGTTGTTGACAGAGAAACTCCTTGAAAGACAGTGAAGTTTGAGCACAACAACAACAATCTTCACAGTCAAAGCACCACAATCCCAGACAACATCAGCGAACCAAGATGCACGGCACACATCACACATCTTGCTGTTTTTAGCAAGCCTATGCGTATGATACCTCTAGAATTTCCACCATTGCACTGTTCATTCGCTGTAACCGCCATCGAATACGCTTTGAAGAGTTCTCGACGGCGATCGGACTTCTGGCGATTTTCCGTATTCAGTCGCGTCAACTGATTTCTCTCAGCTAATGGTGACTGTAAGCGAGAATGAGAGTGAAAGAGATTGAGACTTAGAGATGAAAGTCAAAATATCGTTTAAGGTTGGACTCTCAGACTGCACTTGAGCTCAAAGAGGTTGCTGGTAACAGCAGACACTATTCGGGGGAAGGAATGGGAAGAAGAGGGGAAACTAGAGGAAAAAAATAACATTACCTACGGATAAAGGTTTCAAAGATCGAAACCCATGGAGTCTAGCAACCTTTCCCATGAAAATCTAGCAAACATTTATCTGACAATAAGAATTACGTCGAATGAAATTTTCTGTATTAAATCCGATAAATTCCCATGTACCCATTAGAAACGGCATCACATTGCATTTCGTTCACAAAGCTATACAAGTAGAACCTCTCCCTAAGCTCAAGTGCAGAATTCTGGCTTTATCACAATGAGAATAAGTCAGATGAATGAGGAAAACGAAAAGTGGAGAAAAGGGTGATGCAAGATAGTCAATGTGAAAAATTGCAAGAAAATGAAAGAAAAAAAACCAAAAAGACTAGAAAAACCCCTTAGTGTGCAGACTCCACCACAACTTACATGTATAAAAAACACCAATGGAACAAAAACCTGCGAACACAACATACACTAACCTTCTTCATCAGTTTTGTGTGAATTGTGGAACGACAGGCTTCGCGTCACCTTTGCCGTCTTCTTCGTGAGTCGTTTCATAAGGCCTGCTCCACCTCCTGCATGGCGATCGGATTTGCATCGCTGTACTTTTGCATGCTCTGCTTGAAGAGCATTTTCTGCGTGATCTAAGTCCGGCCGATCCGGATGATCGCTTCGCGGTTCTTGATATCGCTCACGTAAAGACGTCGGAAAATCGGTAGTGTTGCGTCGAAATAGTGACATAACGTTAGCACTGGATGGTTTAGTTGATGACTGTGATTTATGCGGTGACATAGAATCTTTGCTCGTTATCGTTCGATCGTCATCTTCATCGTCTTCGTTGATGTCTTGCTGTAAACTTCACACACCCACCATGACAACCACCGACAAACAGTAAGCAGTTAAGCTGCAAAGTCAAGAGTGATGGCCTAGGACCGAGCAGCCGATTCAACTTATGATTTGCCTAAGCTCAGCTAACCATGACCATTAGAGGCACCTTCCACTCAAAGTGAGGTCAAAGAGATTTCGTTTTATAAGGAAGAGACCCTAACAAAGTAATCACCCGTCTCGCTGCAGGAGACAACCCCAGAAAGTATGAGAGGACACGCTGGCCCATCAACTTGGGTGATTTGATTACAAGTCCGAATTTGGGCTTCAAGGTAGACAGAGATGTCGCCGATTTAATGAGCGTATTGAAGGGCAGATCTATGACGAATCCAATTACACAAACCCAAGGTTGGACTTGTTATCTTCCGAGCACCCAAGATGATGGATGGAGCCAGCGTGACCGCTTCCATCTTTCTATGCGGTTTCTCGTCTAATAAGTCATCTTCTGAGACTTGGGCGACTCACAACTGGTTATCCTGCTATTTAACATCAAAATAACAACACCCTCATTTCGAGTGGACGGTTCCTTTTAGTCTGCTTCAAGCATTTGGTTGCACTATTTGAATTCTGTCTACTAAATTCAGGCCTCAAAAAGCGACAGACCTGCCTAGAAACACAAACCGACCGCAAATGATCATAGCCATACAGGAGCGAAAAGCGTCTCAAGTAAAACTTGCACACAAAAGCGGTTTCTCGTCTAATAAGTCCAGGGGCTGTAAAAGCGTCGAATTGTTATAAGCTAAACTGCAACAGACAGAAAAGATCCACAAAAACAATGATATATTGTCACTGGTCCATCACTCTTGACGGCAAGCCCTCGTAAAGTTTGGAAGATTTTTCACTAAACATGCGACCCGAAGAATATAGAAAAAGTGGGGAAGAGCAGGGAGGCGAAACAGAAACGATGTCTGATGACATACCTCTATCGGGGAGGAAACTTCACTCATTTGCAATTGTATTGCAGGTGTAGGGTCAGAGCCATACAGCTCGGAAGTGGTCCACGCATAAATCAACGCACATTGGGCGATGTCCACTAGCGCGAGGCCATTGGTCATTCCTAAATGATTGTAGAGCATCTTACAGAAAATTCAGTAAAGCAAAGACGTTACCCAGAGCTATGACACCGAAAGCTGAATTCAGAGCTGTTGCTGTGACAGAGTCGGCTTGAGAAGTGGAGGGCCATGGGACGAGGCAAGCCAATTCCGGCTAAATTGAACTTGATGGCTTTTGGAGGTGGTACAAGTCAGGCTATTATATATACGAAAAACTTTTCATGAAAAGGAATGAGAAACGAAGCTCCGAATGCGTAGTGTGATCTTTCAAAAACAAGTTTTTGCGTTTCCAGTCTTCCCGCTCATGAAAGAAAATAAGTCACTGCGGAGCTAATTATCCTCAATGTACACTACAATCTTTTGAAAAGCTTTCAATAAAATAACAAAGGAAACATCGCAGATGCTATATCTGAAATTCACTACGAAACCAAATACCTGATATCCTGCAGGACGCTTCACTGGCGCTCCGCGCACCTTGAAAGGCAGGATCTGTTCATCGCCCGACGCGTCGCTGGTGTCCGGACTATGTGTGGACTCCCTGCTCAACACCTAAAAATGTTCCAACATTTGCAGACTGCAGTATTGACTTGAAGAAAGGAAGCAAGCCGTGATAGCAGGGGAGGATGCATAACAGAAGAAAGAAAAGAAACGTAGGATTGGTAAAGTCGAAAGATAAAGTCCATAGATTATAACTCGAGGTAAGGCCGCGGTGAAAATGAGATAGACAGCGAGAAATGATGACTTCCAAGATGCCGGAGTAGCTGCAATGTTAAATAGCTTTGAGAAGAACGAGACAAGCATATGGTATGACCAGCAGAATAGCCAGCAACATATTAAAGCTTAGCATTTCAAGTATAACCTGACAGTCTCATACCTTCCTTTGTCTCCGCATTTCTTTGTTAACTGGTAGTGGTGCACGCTCTTCAGCGTTGCTTGAAGATGCTCCTAACAATGGTATTTGAACAACCTAAAAAAGCAGTAATTACAAGAATGACGATTTTTTTAAAGATTGCTATCAATACGAGATTAAAGAGCAGATGTAAACTCTTTACAGAAAAGAAAGGAAGAGTGGGCCTAGTTTGCTAGAAACCGCAAAACTTGAAATTCCTCTACATTCTCCGCTCGCAAGTTCATTTCTGAGCAATGATTCTCTCACCGCAATCGTATTCATACTCTCGGCTTTTGTAAACCGGAACAAAGTGACCTGACCCGAAACACCAGCAACAAGCAATAGGCGTGACTAAAAAGATGTTCGTTGATTCAAGAATTGGACTGGATTTCATGGTACACAAACCTCAACACATAATTCTATGGATTTCACAGCATGAGAGACTAGTTCGGATCCTTCCATCTCTTCGAGCCGCTCAAAATGAGGTGCAGTTTTCAGTCGGTAAAGAATTTGAAGATTTTCACCAGAGGCTTGCCAAAATCTAACCGTACCATCTTTGTGCCTGAAAGATTTGAGATTTCCTGAGAATTTTAGACATTCCTTATCGCGTGCTTATCAAACAGTGCAATTTTGTCAGGGTAATTCGATCAAACGAGAAAAACTGAAAGTCGTAACGGTATCACTAACAACACGTAGCATACATAGTTATAACGGAAGTATAAGAAAGAAATAATATAGGTAAGACTAATGTTATTCGACTTACCCAGTGATGATTAATTCTTGATGGCCAGCTGCACACTCCCTTCCAACTCCGCCATTCACAGGCCATGGCTATAATTCATAAGTGCTCGTAAAACTGATGGGATCCATAAACCTCTGAGACCTACCCTGTCACTGAAGCCTTTCTTCCTTTGCTTACAGCCTACAAGAGTTAGTGCACCAATTAGGTCGCTGGGGCAATCTGCATAATAGGCGACAGCGGTAATCTGAGCTTCATGCAAATCCATAGCATGCGGGGATTCGATACAGGGATACCTGTAATCGTTCGCTTCCTTCCAAGCAAGCTTCTTTGAGAAGAATACTTACCCTGATGTAATCAAATCAAACATCATTAACTCGCCCTTCAACAAAACAGCTAAAGCATGTGGTTGCTGTGGGCACGAAACAAAGGGAACCTCAAAAATGGAAATAGACGTATAAAAAAGCTGGTTGTAAAATGCAAACTAACTTGTGGCAATGTTACAAATGACAATATAGGATGATCCATTTCTAGAACGGTGGCGGATTTAGAAGGGCGTAAAAACGTTAGCGCAGGCATGGGTAAACCATCTTCGGTGGGCAAGCCTGAAATGAAGTTACGAATAAGACACAAAATCAACATAACAGTGGGTATCTGGGTACATTTGTCCAAAGAAGCATCTCATACCTCCGGAAAAAATAACTAAATGGTCGTTATCGTTGTTGTGCTTCCAATCAATCATGGTGATCGGTCGGCAAGGTCCTTGCCCATGTGGAAAAGACTTCTGCTGCGGCTCACCTACAAATTTCAAAATTATCGACGCAACTGTCTCGCGCAGCAAAAGAACTTACTCGTCTTCTTCATATTGTACACGCATATCGAACCATCAACATTACCTGTCATCACTAGCTTTCCATCATAATGCCAGCTAAAGCACGAAGAATCAGTCTAAGAACATACGTTTGCAAACTAACCAGAAACACTTGATTGGTGGATCGAGGGGAAACCGATCGATCTCCTTAGTCAGAAGGTTCCATTGTACCACGACACCCTTGTCGTAACCGATGAGCAGTTTTGTGGGCTCTGTGGGGCTCGCGGCAATTTGTCTTATATGACCAGGATGTACCCGGCAACTCCTATAACATACAGGTTTGTGAATTTGTTCGAGAAGAGATGAAAATACTGCAAAAAAAAAGAGATATCCAAAAATTGTGGCTTACAAATCGATAGCTTTGTTCCAGTTGATGACATAAGGGCTCAGCTGGAAAGTGCCAACGGATACGAAATACACGTTACCCTAAATGTTTAGGACGTTAATCTTTGTAACGTATAAAAAATCGATAGTATGAATGTAACGTATAAAAAATCGATAGTATGAACAGGCATTTTTAGAAAACAGTGCAATAGCAAACCTTGTCTGTGCCTACATATAACCACTTTCCACCCATGGGAAGATTTATACATGTCACAGATTCTTTGTTCAATTGTAAGCTGTGTACGATCTGGAATGCATAAGTGGTAATAGGAAAATGAAAATAAAAAAATTACAAAAATTACCTCTGGGATCTTCTGGCGGTAATTCCATAGATGTATGAGGTCACTGCCGCACGCCGTAATCAAACCTCCCTGGAATCATTTTTTAGTTTCTTCAAAAAAGAGACATGTTGGCCACCAACTTCATTAATTAGAAATTGGATATGGTTGACAGCATGATCCGATTCATGTCGCAGCAAATAGTCTACTCCTAGGTCACCTGAAAGAACATCAGACTCTCTAGAGATACTACAAGATGCTTTGAGCAAGGGGGTATTTTTGTATGTGATCTGAGTAAAAATGCACGCTGCTGAACACTGAGATTAGGACTAACGTAGAAAAAAAAAGCGAACTCCAAAATGAAGCAAAACCAAAAAAAGGCTAGGAAGAATGTTGCGAAAGCACCAGAAAAACAGCAAGTGTTGATTACCACTCTTGGAAAGTGACAGCATATTCAAGAAGTTAATAGCATATTCACACTGAGCATGGTTCAAACAACAGCAACAATCATCCTTCCCCCCCCCCCCCTGCGACACACCGAAAAGCAAAGACAAACGCAGACGTAAGGTATGCGAAATTCAAAAACCATGCAGATAAATGCAAGCAAGCTGACGTATCCTTAGACTCACCTATAATTCGCACTAATCCATGTCCGGTTCCGATTGCTAACAAGCGTTGCACCGGATCGTAGGCCAAACACCGTGCGTCATCAGGAAATCCATGCCGAACAATCTAGAAAAACAACATGAGGAAAGAACATTCGTAGATGTCCCAAAGCAAAATAGAAAAAAAAACTGAAATGAGAGAGTTGAGGCAGAATCGCATACAGCATCACTTAAGATCCTGTAAGCGTGATTTTGTAACTGCATAACAGATCAGAAAAGTGTCATATGAAGAATGAGAAGGAACTAACAATTTAAACAGTTTGAAAGCGTGTTGCAGATGTCCCAAAACAATAGATAAAATCAAAATACTTCTCAATACTCAATTTTAGTGATAGCAATACATAGCCCTCTTTTTTGGTTTCCAAAGAAAAAACAGGAGGCTATCTGTCGCTTGGAACTCAGGAGATTTCCATTACCACATCAAAGAAGCGGCATTCTGCCGTTAATGCTAAGCCATTTATCAAAGTCGTACATAGAAAATTCATCCAAAGAAGGATTAGAGATGCGGAACAGAAACTTGCTTTAGGTAAAGTTCACTGAGTCCAAATATGAAAAGGGACAAGCTTTTCAACATTTTTGACAACCTATGTGCTGAGCTAGACGCTAAGAGCTTTGCACCTTTTCTCATATTCAAACATTCTTATTAATCGTGTGGAATACACAGAGATGTCACACTATTCGAAAATTTGATGGGAAAAACAGTTACAAGGATGCGCCTTCCAAACTTTGAACCTTACAAAGGTCATAGAACTAGGCATTTTTCTTAGGAATATTTCAGGAGTGAAAAGGTAACACGAGATAAGCAAATACTACCGGATTGCTGTGTTCTAGGCTCTAGCGCATGGAGACTATTCTACAAACATTTGGGAAGCCTAGGGCTTTATCTATACACGAAAATGAGAGAAAGACAAATCATCCCCATAATGATGGCTATTGAACAATGACGTGATTTCAGAAAAACCCACTATGGACCAGGATCGCCCCAATCTCAAGCTGATGACGAGATAAAAGAAGAAAAACTCAGAGGCCAAAGAAACACAAGTTGCATGGATTAACCACATTCTTTTATTTGTACAGAGGTGAATCACAAGCCAAATCCCCCAGATGAAATATGTCCTTCCTAGGCGTCAACATGTTTTATGCTTTCTTATATAGACGGCTTTATATGGACATGCAAACTTTAGTAGTAGAGATTAACGAGATTAGTCGAGCAGCACTGCAGCACTTGCTGTGACTTATTGCCGAGAAAGCTGGCGAAAAAACACTGCAACTACTTCGGAAGAAGGTCTTTCCTATCAAAAACTGGGGTGTGATCTTATACACTTTACGAATGAGGACCACTATAACTGTTGGCGTTATAGTAACAAAGCAAAAAAAAGAAGAAAAATCAAAGTTCAGCCACTAGTGAAGTGAAAAAAGAAGAGATGGATGATGGAAGTGAAGACTTACCTTCTCAAAACAACAGTGTTCAGGCTGGATTTTCTCATCGACTGCGATGTCGAGACGAGAATGCGATCGCAAACCGTCAATTGCTGACGCGAACCTGGAAGAAACATCATGAGATAGGAACAGCAACAAAGTAAAGTTTCCGACTAACTTCTTTTTCGCCTTGTCCATCTTGAGTTCGAGTAAACTGCTTAAGTTGTCGCGTAAGCCTTCAGATTCAAGTATTTCATGCTGCAAAGAAAAAATTTTGAGACGGGAGCAACACGAATTCACCTTCACGACGAGTTACGAGCGGATTATGAAAACAAAGAAATTGAATGTGATAAACAGTAAATGAAAAAACCACAACCCTCGCGAATGAGCTTGAGAAACATGATGGTGAATAATGGTCTCGATGATCGGAAGCGAGAGGAAATGCAAGTAAATTTGGCGACAAATTCAGTCTTTCGTGCAAATGCGGAAATGAAATTAGAACGCAAAATTGCGGCTCGGTCATGCAGATTCTATCCGTTTCTTTTCAGTCACAGGCGTCTGTTAGTATTATTTAATCTACTACTGCTACTACCAAACTCTGATATTATCAGGCAGTAGATTGTTCGGAACAGAAAGCGATGCAAATGCTGCTTTACAGTCTAAATGACAGTTAGGATAGTGTTCTTGCGTTCGCGACAACAATTGTGCGTGGAAATGACTGCAAGGATTGGTAGAAATTCGCTTAGTTATTTTTTTACGCGCAGGTGTTGTCAGCAATGCAACGAAATCGTTTCTTCCGCGCAAGTGTTGTTGGCACTACAAGGTACTTATTAGCCGTCCAGTCTACTAGGCTATTAGGAAACAGGCCGAAGTCTCTTGCCATCAGCCAAATATGCAGAAGAATTTGAATGACACAAATACAGATGCAGACGATGCACATCTGCCACTACTGAGGCGACAGTGACGCAGAGTCCGTTGCAGCGCGTCGAACACAACATTATGTCGTAAATCTTTCAGCCAACTATGAACAAAAGGAGGCATACATGACGAGAACGAAGATGACCAAGAAGAATTGCATTTTTGTGAATATAAGCAGTGAAGGCAGTGGCATAAAAATGGACTGTAATCAACGATACGCAACAAATTTCTGCATAGGAAAAGTTCATCTAATAAAGACTTGGAACATTATGCAAATCTTGCGAGCCATTCCGGCACGAAGTTGGCGGCATAAGCACACGCCATAGTTGATCCCCTTGATCTACTAGATCCGCTTGTTCCACTTAATCGAGTTGATCCGCTTGATCCACTTCGTGTAAAACGCGCCGTGAGTAATTTGTCATTTGGTGTTGCGTATAGCAAATTTGCGCAACAGTTCAATTTTTTTTACCTATGCGACGCCAAATGACAAATTAGTGACGGCGGATTTTACATGAAGCGGATCAAGTGGATCAAATGGATCAACAGCGTGTGCCATAAGGCTGCGAACAAAGTTGCGCATACCAGCGCCGAGCAAGCGCCGTTCTAGCGCCGTACCGCCACGTCGATCAATCAGTACGCGGCGCACGAATGCGGCTCCGGCACGGTTATAGCACGGCGCCGGCACCGCTCCGGACGGGCAACTCTGGGGCCATCCTGAGCACGCGAGAATTGAATAAAGAGACAGTAAACATTGTGCGTTGCATTACATGATGTGACAAGCTGCTAAAACAACAGCGCGCGGTCGTTCGCTAAAATGACGCAAGCCGCTCGCATAAATTTGCGTTCGGACCTGGGACGATTCATTCTTGGCACAGACTATGTTATATCAGACTACTTTGTTGGCAATCATTCAGCATACGAAGTTCTTTACAGGTGAGCAAGTCGTATTTTTAACAGCGCTTTCACATTAAAAACTCTTATCTTTTCTAGGACTTTCAACACTCAATGCTGTAGCTCATTTTGTGAATCTAAATTTATTTTACATTTCACGCCAATGAAACCTATACCAAGCACACGATAACGTGCAGGCGCTTTAAAACCTCTAAACTGCTTCAGCGGCAATACAATTTTTTTACAGCGGATGTTTTTCGCGCCTCTTTTTCGGGTAAAATCAACTCTGAGAACGAATAAGATTACATGAATCTAATGCTGTGAGTGCTAGCATGTGGCATGCGTGATTCTCACACGTAATTTGAGACCTTGGCCTTCGAGGTGCTCATGAAAGCAAAAGCAAACACTTCTCAAATTGAGAAAAAACTGAGTTCGAACTTGCCGTGACTACAGGGTCGAAGAACATGTTTGCAATCTATCAAATTTAAAAAGAAAATTATGAAATAAAGAGAGAGTTTGAGTACTCAATGTTATTCCTACTTATTCATCAATTTCTATTCAGAACTTGCTCTTTTCTACTAACTATCAAAATCATGATTTTTTTCATCTCTAAGTTTCTTAGCTTACCCTAATTTTCGCTCTCCTTTGGGGACCTGAGTGCCAAAAGAATGGTTATTTGTCTTTGACAGTTAGAACTATCTTTGGTTAAAGACCAGGATAAAAAGATAGAGACTTTTTGAAAAGCACAAAAACAAGAGGCGAAATTTTTAAGTAGAGATGCTCTAGCACCACTTAAAGGCACCGTCCACCCAAAGCGAAGTTGATGAGATTTCGGTGGCATACTAGTGTGGGCCCCCACACTAGGCAAACCTCCAAGTAGCGCCGCAAAGTACTCCTTCCGAAGCGAGAAATCCGCTCCGGAAGGGACGTAACCGGAGGTGGTCACTCCGCCCACTTTGCAGGCGCGCTGATATACGCAGGGCGTCATTAGCAAACTAGTCATGGGCAATTGTGCAATCGATTAGGAGTATTGGGAAATGTTTGCCCCAGTCTTGATCCAGGTTCCGCGTATTTAGCACATTCACACAGAAAGCAGTGAAAGCAAGTGTTTTAGCACACAGAAATGCGTGATAGTTTAGTGCGATGATCCATTAGTCATGTAGACGGCGTCAACGATTATTTAGACTACAAATAGTTTTTCAATCTGATGTACATTGCAATGAAAAAACTCACGTCGCATGTTCATCTCGTTTTATTGAGCACAAGCGTCACCTATAACGAAAGATCGTGTCCATATCAAGAAAAACAGCCATGCCGGATGCTGATGGTGGCTATAATCGAAAAAACAACTTTGTCGTAGATTTAGTCATGACTGAATAAAAAACGAACGGTTGAGGATACAAGTACACGAAATAACACTAGAAAAACTCCGATTAGTCGCCTACGACGAGGCAGCGTACTGCGCTGTGTGTGTAGTCTCTCCAACGGTGCGCCTGCAAAGTGGGCGGAGTGACCACCTCCGGTTACGTCCCTTCCGGGGCGGATTTCTCGCTTCGGAAGGAGTATTTTGCCTCGCTACTTGGGGGTTTGCCTAGTGTGGGGGCCCACACTAGTATGCCACCGAAATCTCATCAACCTCGCTTTGGGTGGACGGTGCCTTTAACATATGGTAACTACATTTTTTCCACTGAAATTCTGGTGACATTTTGTTTTGAAATTTCCAGAAAATGGAGCTAGCAAATAACTGCTTACGAAGGAAGAAAAACTGATTTTTGGAACTTTTCAGTTTTGATAGATTACCGCAGTCCAATTTTTTTGTACCTGCTTATTTTATTAGAAACGACGATCATATGAGGTGGTAAGTGAGGTGAAAAAGAGTAGAAAAAAATAGAACAGTGTAAAAGACAGGAGTTCACGATATATCCTCCAAAAAGCTCTAAGAAGTCATATTTCACACGATTCTGAGCAAAAATGACGGAAAGCCTTGGAATTCTCGGTAAATGACGTTGTGTTCGACGTTTACTTTATGACAAGTACATTTTCGATGATTTTCTGTACCTGATATATGGGAATGCGCAGTAAGTCTGGGAATTATGAGGATTTATAGTGCGTCTGACTTTGAAAATACTCGATCATATGTCAAGTTTGTCGCAATCACGGCAAAAACACATGAATTTGATTTTGTGGGAAAGCGGATAGTCAATACAGAGCTCAAAAATGGCGGTTTATTGCGGATTTGAAAGAAAAACTGTTTATAAAGTGAAACTACATACTAATTCACCCATAAGTGCTCCATGAAAAATCGTAATTTTTTCTAGTTCCGATGATTTCGTACGATGATTTTTTGATAAAACTAAAAAAATCATGCACTTTTCAATTGTGCTTGGAGCAGAAATTCCTACTGGCATATCATGGACACTAAGAAAAAATAAAACAGGTGAATTTTCAGTTTCTAGTCACCAAAGTTGCTGAATTAAGCATAAAAAATAAGATTACTCTAAATTGTGGTGCGCTGATGTCTTTCTAGAGATAATTATGACTTTTGAATGTTCCCTACTAACAATTCGATTTCATTTGGAATGATTAGGATCTCTACAGTGGCGGACTGAGGGGGAGGGCGGGAGGGGGGGGGGCCTCGAGAATGGGTCGCGAAATTTTTGAAGTTTAGTTACATGGTTTATAAAAATGTGCAAATGATTTGTTTATTTTGTGAATAATTAGAATAATTTTTAAAACTTTTCAAAAGTGTAAATTAGCCTTGCAAAAAAATTTATTTCGGGACATTCGAAGTAAATTTCAAGAAGGGTAAGATGAAAATCAGGATAATTTTCAATAACACTCATTATAAGTTAAATAGTTTTGTGCAAATACCCGCCCAATATATCTAGAGATCTTTATTTTTCGGAGATAGAAGAATCATTGAGTGGAACGTGTTTGTTACAAATACAAATTATATATTAGGTCGTTCCAAAAGTAATGTCGCTTTTTTCAAACGTACGCCACGTACATAAACGTACATATCGTGGAACAAAGATGTGTAAGAGATTCTGGTAGCATTTGATGCAGCATTTTATTCTCCTTCTAAGGGTTATACAACCACTGCACAAAGTTTGATAACCTGTCAAAAATTATCAAAATCTTCGAGCGTGCTTTTTGAAAAGGCCAAGTTTCACAATTTTTTTGAAGCTTTATAACAATCCTCGGAAGGAGTCCAAGTAATGAATGGATAGGGCAAACCCTATAGGAAACAGCACAATTTTTTTCTACTTTCCAGAGCTCGTCATAATTTTTGTATAGATTTTTTGATGAAACCGTTGAATTTTGGCGCTCGTCTCAGACACAAATGCAACAAACACCAATAAATCTTCGGGTTTTGAAACTTACAAAGATTGATTATGGTTTGACACTAATTTTACAAACCAAATGAGCATTTACCGCTTCAAATTAGC